CAGTGAAGCAACGTCCTCCACAACTAGACTGAAGAACAGAAGGACAGCAACTTGTCTGTTCCCCTTCCCCCAATTCCCCAGCACTGTTCCCATCCCCAAATTCCCAAATTAAAAAAAAATCGTAATAAAAAATAAAGAAAAGACTCTGTGTAGTTAATAACAAAAGTATATTTCTTGTTCATGCAAAGTCCACTCTAGCTAGTTCCAAGCCACCCTTGGGCAACTCAACCTTCCAGGCTATGTATCAATACGCACTTTCATGATCGCCAAGGCAGGTGAAGAGAACGCTGAGTCCAGCATTGGCAATCAAATGCTTCTATCCCAAAGTGTCAGGTGTCACTCATGTTTCCTTGGTTAAGGAAAGTTCTGTGGCTGCACCGAGAAATAGGAGAGCACTGGATCCTGGTGAGGCAGAAACAAGGCCCACTTCAGGGCTTTGGCCAAAACATATTTTAATTGCTAACTCTTAAGTTGTATCTTTAAAATTCCTTTTCAACTTTTGTTTTCAGTTTTTAAGTTGTGTCTTTACAGAGGGCTGTTTTCTCCCTATATCCACCCACGTCGCCGGACTCTGTTGTTAGTTCTAGATAGTTCTCATTGGCATTTGCACCCCGGGAGCAATGGCGGTGGGCAGCAGAGCGCAGATGTGTTCCTGAGCTTGCCCCAGCAAGGGTGGACACTGACCTTCCCTCTCAGGTGAGCACCAGCATCGACGACTGGAAGACCACTAAGTGGAAAAATATCAACGTGGAGCAGATGGACATCGACTGTAAGAAGTTTGCCAAAGACGTGAGGTCTTTGGACAAGGAGATGAAGACCTGGGATGCCTTTGTGGGGCTGGACAACATGGTGAAGAATATGATCACCTCCTTGCGGGCCGTGAGCGAGCTACAGAATCCCGCCATCCGGAACCGCCACTGGCAGGAGCTCATGCAGGCCACCCAGGTATTGCCGGCCATGGGCATGGAAGGTGCGGGCCCCTGTGACCGGCCTGCCTTGCTGCAGGATGGGCTGGCTGGGGCGGCTCTGCTGAGCGGTCAAGGCCTCGTGCTGACAAAACCCAGGGTGGGCAAGGCCACTCATGCACACGTGACCCAGGAAGTGACAGGCTCTGTGCTAAGAGGGGCCCCGAGCTGGGTTGAATGGTCTGCTGTCGCCATCTTGAAATTCTCAATTTTTAAACAAAGAACCCCACCGTTTTCATTTTGCACTGGATCCTGCAAAATGTGTAGCCAGTCCTGGTTGTAGGTTGAATGTCTCTAAGACTCGGGAAGTTTGGGGCCAATGAACAGCTCCCCTGGGCCCCCGTGCACTCCAAGAACACAGAGTCCTAGTGCCTAGATTTTCCCAGGAGTATCACCTAGCTGGGGGATGGGGGTACTAGCCTCGACAGCCACAGAAGACAAATAGGAACACTCCCCACTGTCCACCAACACTGAACAAATCTATATTCCACAGCTACTCTACAGGGACCCCGCACAGATGCCAGGGGTACAAGAGAGAGAAAACACGGCCTCTGCTCTCAGGGAAACAAAGAAAGAAATCACAGCACCTGGATCACGTAGGGGATGCCAAGTGGGATGGCTATTTAGCGATGATTCTAATTGTTTAGAAGGGACGGTCACCTCCAAGGGAAGGGAAGAGCAGAAAAGCGTGTGCAGTGTGGCCTGGGCCCTGGGGGAGCCATGAAGACAAGCAGAGTCCTTGAGAGCTGAGACCTTGAGAGCTGAGACCACAGCTTTCTCAGACCACCAGCCCGATCTGGGTGCCCCGGGAGAGGCCACCTCACTCCGTCTCAGGTCACATGACCTTCTTCTGCATTTCAAGTCCTCTCTCCTTTCTCTTGTCAGAGCACCTGCCTTTGGACTTAGGTCCACACAGTTAATCAGGATGATTTCATCTCACAATCCTTAACATCTGCAAAGACCCCATTTCCAAATAAGGTTGCATTCTGACGTTAGGGTGGACATGAATTTGGGGGTATTCAACCCACTGCAGGTGGGTTCTGCTATTATGTGGTTTTACAGGCAGGAAGGGCGAGGCTGGGAGAACTAGCTGGCCAGAGTCACGGCCCAGGAAACAGCAGCACCAAGCTTCCAGCCGCTCCCTCTGTGGTCTGGAACGTTCACTGACCTGTCCCTCGTAAGGGACAAAGATGCCCTTATGTGAACATGCCTGTTTCCCCCCAGGTGAAGTTCCAGATGTCAGAGGACACTATCCTGGCGGATTTGCTCCAGCTGAACCTACACAAATACGAGGACGAGGTCCGGAACATCGTGGACAAGGCTGTGAAGGAGGCCGGGATGGAGAAGGTACCTTTGTGGACGTGACATGGGTCTGGGCAGGGATGACGTGGAAACTGACGTGCCCCCCGGCCCTATGTCTCTCACTTCATGTGGGGCCAGCGCTCATTTAAAAAAGGAAAGTTTTTGGGCCGGCCGAGTAGCTCAGTTGGTTAAGAGTTGGTTTAAGAGTGCGAGCTCTGAGCAACAGGGCCGCCGGTTTGATTCCCACATGGGCCAGTGATGCTGCGCCCGAGCTGAGCTGCTGCTGAGCTGCCAACAGGTGGCAGGATGGCTCAGCTGGTGTAACAACAAGATTGCCTGTTCGATGGTGGGCTACACCCACCTCCAGCTAAGACTGAACTCGGCACCTTGAGCTGAGCTGCTGCCCTGATGGCTCAGTAGATAGAGCGTGCGCTCTTAATAGCAAGGTTGCCGGTTCGAATCCCGCATGAAAAATAAAAATAAAAAAAATAAAAAGGAAAGTTTCCTGGCCCTTCTCTTACCCAATCCATGATAGAAATCTTATAAAATAGCTCCAGAATTTATTACTGAAAAAAACATAACCCAGTTCCTGGCTACAGCTGTCTCCCTGCCAGCAGGAGAGTGTGCGTTTCAGGATGCACTGGACTCTGGGCCTTCCGGGAGCGCCCTGACCTGTGTCCTGCCCACCCCTCCCTCTGACCTGGGAGGGCTGACTCTCAGTGAGCACCTGGCAGGTTAATGGGGGCTCCGTTTTCAGTCCAAACCTCTCTCCTCACCTAAGTGTTTGGGAGTTGGAATTGTCACATTTTGGATTTTTTTATTTTAACAGCCTTATTGAGCTATAATTCACATACCATACCATTCACCCATTGAAAGTATACAATTCTGTGGCTTTTAGCATGTTGCAGAGTTGTGCAACTGTCACATATTAGAATCAGTCAATTTCAGAACATTTTCATCATCTCAAAAAGAAACCTGCACCCTTTAGCTGACAGCCCTGCCCCAGTGCCAACCCACTTTGGGTCTCTCTGGATTTGCCTATTCTGGGCGATTCATATAAATGGAATCACACATATGTGGCCTTTCGTGACTGGCTTCTTTCACCGAGTGTAATGTTTGGAGGTCCATCCATGTTGTAGCGCGTGTCAGAGCTTTACTCCTTTTATGGCCGAGCAAGGCTCCACTGGGTGAGCGGACCACGCTTTGTTTGTCCGTCCATCTGTGGAGAGACGTTTTGGTAGCTTCCCCCTCTTAGCCGTTGGGAGTGATGTTGGTATGAACGTTTTGTCTTCCTTAAAGCAGGGCTGACTCCAAGCTCTGGGAGACTCACGGTCCCCTCAGCCCTGCATGCGCTGGTTTGTGTCCCCTGAAAGGTGCTGAAAGCCCTGGACAGCACCTGGTCCACCATGACGTTTGAGCATGAGCCGCACCCGCGGACGGGTACCATGCTGCTCAAGTCAGACGAGGTGCTGGTGGAGACGCTGGAGGACAACCAGGTGCAGCTGCAGAACCTGATGATGTCCAAGTACCTATCCCACTTCCTGAAGGAGGTGACAAGCTGGCAACAGAAGCTGTCCACGGCAGACTTGGTCATCTCCATCTGGTTCGAGGTCCAGAGAACCTGGAGCCACCTGGAGAGCATCTTCATTGGTTCCGAAGACATCCGCACCCAGCTGCCCGAGGACTCCAGGCGCTTTGACGACATTGACATGGAGTTCAAGGTGAGCGCGGCCGTCTCGCTCCTGCCGGGGCACTTCCACAAATGGCTGTGTTGGAGGAGACAGGGCTCCGAACGCCTTAGCGGTCCCCTTCTCTTCCCAGGCCTTGATGGAAGACGCAGTGAAGACGCCCAACGTGGTGGAAGCCACCAACAAACCCGGTCTCTATAACAAACTTGAGAATATGAAGACGAGGTGGGTCCCCACACCTGTCCAAACCAGGAAGTCGTAGTGCAGGGACCCAAGTCTTGTGCCCCGTGCTGGCCAAGACAAGACAAGAAGAACCCTGGCTCGTGGGTTCACACATCCCTTCCTTTCCTGGAAGGTTGAGTTCCTGGACTACATCCTGCCACGCCAGCCACGGCCACGTGGGGGGAAGAAACACTTAAAATATACTCCTTCCTACCTAGGGGCGCCCATGGGCCGGGGCCTGGCAGATAATGAGTGTGTCAGGTTGGAAGGTCCAAATCGAACTGGGGCTGTAGCTCCAGGCTGGCAGTGCAGCAAGCACAGGCTGGGCTGGGAGACACCCTCTGCAGAGTCGGCCTCAGCAGCCTCGTTCCCACCCTCTCCTAGTCTGGCTGTGTGCGAAAAGGCCTTGGCGGAATACTTAGAGACGAAAAGACTGGCTTTCCCAAGGTTCTACTTTGTCTCCTCGGCTGACCTCCTGGACATTCTCTCTAACGGAAATGACCCTGTGGAGGTAGGCGGCCCCGCCTTTCTGAAGGGTAAGCCAGCTTCAGACAGGCCCCATGCTCAGCCACATTTGGGTAGCTCTGGGATGTTGGAGGAGTGTCCCCAGATGTGCCTGTAACACCTCCATGAGGTCTTCCCCACCAGAAACCACCTGGGGCCCCGGCTACGACAGAAAGACCACGGGACTCTAGGGTTGACTAACTAGGTGAAGGGAAAGCGACTGTGCGCGTATTTTATTTTCATCACAAAGCTGTGAGGTACACAAGGGTGGCCCGAAGTGTAGGGCCTGAGCGTGTGACCTAGGGACACAGGCCCCGTGGCTCGGGCAGAAGTTCTCAAGGAAATGACATCTTCAGGGACAGACAGCCTCTGAAACCAGGATCCCCAGGCTGGCTTCTGTGTCCTGCCTGACAGCAGTTTTTGCTGTTCCTTTTGTTGGGAAAGCGTGTTCAGTTAACATTGGTCAGAGAAGGAGGAATATAGTCCCCCCGAAAGATGCTTAAAACCACCAAGGAACGTGGGCCACGTGTCCCCTGCAATTCCCTTGGTCACATAATTCCGGCGTTTTCCCCCCACCCAGGTGAGCCGCCACCTGTCCAAACTCTTCGACAGTCTGTGCAAACTCAAGTTCAGACTTGATGCCGATGAGAAACCACTCAAAGTTGGCCTGGGCATGTACAGCAAGGAGGACGAGTATGTGGATTTTGATCGTGAGTGTGACCTCTCAGGGCAGGTGAGTTCGTGTGCAAGCTGCAGCGTGAACGGACAGAGACCCCCCCCCAGGAGAATGACAACGCAGCGGCTGTGAGAGCCACATGCCCTCAAACGAGGGTGTCACCACCAGCCTGTCTAGAACTCCCAGCACAGCCTTACCCATGCAGTATGAGGTGTATCTTGAGAACAAGAGAAGAGGAAGGGGGTGCGGGGAGGGGAGTGGGGAGGAGGAAAGAGTTTATGAATGCCGTTGAATTTTGCCATGGTTTTCAAGGGGGCCATGTGCACCTGACACACCACGTTCTGACGCCTGTTCAGAATCATTGGCCTCACTGCTTTGACAGATCAGAGCGGTCCCCTTACCTTGGGTAGGTAGCTCGTGCCTTTTTCTAGCTCTCTCAGCAAGTGTGTCAGCCACCCAAGAAGGCTGACTCCTGCTGACAGCAAACGTCCTGGCCGTCCCTCTCCCCACATCTCATTGCCCAAGTATTGATCGACCATCTGAACCGATTTTGACATTAGCATAAGGAAAATGTAATTCACAGGCAAGTCAGCTTGAGGTGTGAATCTCACGCTGGAAACCCTGAGCTTCAGCCACGTGGACTTAGAGCGCTGGCTGCTTCGCTTGGTAGGGCCGCGCTGGGCGGGGCCGTGGTGGGCGGGGCCACGCTGGGCGAGGCGGTGACCAGATCCATCCATCACCGTTTGTTCGGATTCGCTTCCTGCGCCCAGCTCCTTAGATGTGACCACAAACCACAGCGAGGGCTACTGGCACTGGGTTTGTAGCTAAAAAGAAACAGCGACCTGGTTATCTCATTTGGGGTCCCCCACTTCAGTAGCTGTTAACTGAGGGTTTGTATTTTAAATTACAAACAAGGCTTGTCGTCAAGTTTGTCACATGATGAACACACACCCCAAGACAATGCACTTGTGGGCTCCATTAGTCAGAACACGCCAGGGACACGGGACTGACCGCTCCATTGCCTCCAAACACCAGCAATGCTCCGGGGGCTCAGACATAGCCTGTGTTGTCTTCTAGAATCTTCTCTGGGCCCCCTCCCTTCTCTGCCTAAACACAATGTATACACACAAACGCCCATGCCAACTGGGCTTCCCAGCCCCATTTTCCAAGTGGGTCTGTCTTACCGCTCAATAAGAACCTTGACATTTCCACCCCTGGGATGATGAGGAGGACAAATATTAAATTTTTTTACAACAAAGCAAGGCATTGGAATTAGATGCGCTTGTGGCCCCTGGTCAGCGTGGCTCCCATCCGCAGGTGGAAGTCTGGCTGAACCGAGTGATGCACCGTATGTGCGCCACGCTCAGACACGAAATTCCAGAAGCGGTGGTGACATACGAGGAGAAGCCGAGGGAGCAGTGGATCTTCGACTATCCCGCCCAGGTCAGAGGCACGAGGACGCTGGCTCTCAGCGGAGGGCAGGCTGGCCACGTAACGGCACCCCGGCGACCACAGCATAACTTACCGGCGTGGAGGCTTCTGGGGCAGCAGGAGGATGGCTCACTGGGGCTGTGGGGGCCCTCTGCTTCCAGGTGGCGCTCACGTGCACCCAGATCTGGTGGACCACCAAGGTGGGCATGGCATTTGAGCGGCTGGAGGAAGGCTACGAGAACGCTATCAAAGATTACAACAAAAAGCAGGTGTGTGGGCCCTGGGGACCCCACAAAATGGTGAGAGCACCAGGGCTGTCTCCAGGGCTGTGCCTCGTGGAACCGCAGGTTCTGCCCATCAGAGCCCCGGTGCTTCTGCCCGAGGGCTATCACTTTGGAAATCCATGGCTTCAATTTCTTGTCTAGAAATCACCACATGCAACCATGCGTTGTTTACTTTTATAAAAAATTCCTGGTTAGAAATCTAGAAACTAAAGATAATTTTTAAATGGATAAAGGAAAAGCTACCCATAACCCATCACCAGATATATCCATTGTCAACATATTCTTATCTAATTATTATTATAATAATATTATTTAGTACATATAACATATTAAATATATAGTACATAATATATAATGTGACATTATATATGATATAATATATAAAATACGTATACTAAATATATATATTGTTCTAATCCTTTTGTGCACATATAACTGACATACATAAAAATATACGAGCTGTCTGACGGCTTTAAAGTCCCGTTTTTATCGGCTATCCACCACGTGCCCACATCACCAGATTTTCTTCTATGGCGTCTTTTTGGCGGCTCGGTGTTGTCCGTCGGGGACTGCTCCCCAGCTCACCCCACCCCCGTTGGGGGACATTGAGAACTTTTTTCTGTGTTCCATTCCTGAGATCAAGAGCACAGTGGTCTTCCCCACCCAACCGTGCGCTCCAGGGGACCCACCCAGCCCGGGGCCACTCAGCTGGTGGCGGGCGCCCCCAGGTGTCCCAGCAAAGGGGCCTTTGCGCCTGCAGATCAGTCAGCTGAATGCGCTTATCACGCTGCTCATCGGGAACCTCAGCGCTGGAGACAGGATGAAGATCATGACCATCTGCACCATCGACGTGCACGCGCGAGACGTGGTGGCCAAAATGATCGCGGCCAAGGCACGAGCACGGGGGAGGGCCAGGGGGTGGGGTTTGGGGCCTCCGGCCTCTGATTTGGCCGCTTCCTTGGGGAGGTGACTCTGTTCCTGGCAGCACCCTCCCCACACTCCTACCTGAGACTCACCCCTGCACTGGAGGAGGACCGGAGCTTCCTGGGTCAGGGACGGGCCTGGAAACAAGCCACTTCCCCCCAACGGGCCTCCTGCAGGTGGAAAGCTCGCAGGCCTTCACCTGGCAGTCCCAGCTCCGGCATCGCTGGGATGAAGAGAAAAAGCACTGCTTCGCTAACATCTGCGACGCCCAGATCCAGTACTCGTATGAGTACCTGGGCAACACGCCACGGCTGGTCATCACCCCGCTCACCGACAGGTGAGGGCACCCAGGCCACCTTCCCTGCACAACTCAGAAAAACAAGTCAGGGCTCTCTGTAGTCTCCTCCCCGCAATTCTTCCCGCTGAGGCTGAAAGAACCGGGCCTTTGGGTCAGAAGGACCTGAGTCAGGGTCAGTCCTGCCGCCAGCCAGGTACCCAGGGCACCGTGTTCGAATCCTCTTACTTAGACACTAGCTGTGCAGCCTCAGGGGCAGTGCAGAACCCCCCGAGGGCCTGTGAAGTGAGTGGGGATGAGGTTTCATCAATCCTATGCGCTCAGTGAGGGTTGAGCAAATTATTTAATAAGCACCCAGACCAGCCCGCTCAGAGCAAACCCTTGGGGGTGTGATGTGATTCTAATAACTGTTACTGTTCTGTCAGTAGCGCCCGCCCCCCAGATGCTGCCGTGTCTGCCCCAGCACGGAGCCTGCTCCTGTCACAGCTCAAGTCCTTCCCTGCCGGTGGGACTGAGCGGGTGTAACTGAAACCACAATGAAAGGAAAGTGGGTGGCAGTGGGGTCGCAGCACATGAGTTAGTCAGAGGTCCCTCGCAGGTGCTACATAACCTTGACCCAGTCCCTCCACCTGATCATGGGCGGAGCCCCCGCGGGCCCTGCCGGGACTGGCAAGACGGAGACGACCAAGGACCTGGGCCGGGCTCTGGGCACCATGGTGTACGTCTTCAACTGCTCTGAGCAGATGGACTACAAGGTATGCACCCCGGCCCGGAGGTCCCCGTGGAGGACCCAGTATGGCCCCTCCCCCAGGAGGCTGCCGCCTTCATGCCCCGGCGAGCTCTAGATGTCTGCACGCTGCAGCCCCAGGGAGGAGGCACCAGGTCCCCAGTTCGCTGATGGCCACCACTCCATGGACGGGCCAACTGCTGAACTCCTGGTGGTCCTGGCCATCCTGGGAGGCATACCTGGGAGAGACACCCAGCCCCAAAAGTCCTGCCCTCCTCACCTGACTTCCAGGGACTCCAGGCAGAGTGAGCATCTCCACCGTGGATCAGGGAGGGGTTGCCGGGGAAACATCCAGGAGGCTTGGGAGGGAAATGGTGGGGGGAGGGCTGGGCCCCAGCGGCCACCCGAGGCTCTGCAGGACTGTGTCCGTTCTCAAAGGGCCCCTGGAGAGAGGACACCCTCGAGGTCCAGGCCAAAGAGCCTGTGGTGGGCGGGGTTGGGGTGGGCGCTGAGGTCAGCAGCCTGGGACTGCAGGGGGCCTGCTCTCCCCATCCATCCGGGTCTGGTGTCTGAGCCCCACAGGCAGGAAGAGCCGTCCTGAGGTTGAGGGCAGCCGCCCCTCCTTACAGTCAGGGCCGGCCCAGGCCCACACCAGCCTCCTAGGTTTTAGTAAACTGAACCCTGAAGCTGGCTCCCCTGGAGCGAACTCAGCATCTACCTGGAATCTGCATTCTGGTCACTCAGCTGGGGGGTGCTTCCCTTGCCCCCACCTTGGAAGGATGCCCTCCTTTGTGCTCGGGAAAATGCAAGGACTGACTTTTAAATAAATGCACTCATCTGACCAGCCCAGTTAGGGGGCTGGGGGCTAAGCCCCCATCCCAGGAGGCTTAGGGGGAAGGATGGACTCTTCCGGGTACCCATCCCCATGTTGTATTAAGCCCTTCTGGGGAGGGGGCCATCCTGCCTGCCAGCTCTCCCAGGGCCCCGAGGCTCCTGAGCCTGACCCTTGGTCTGGGAGCCACGAACAGGACTGTGAGCTCAGCTGGAGGGGCAAGTGAGGATTTTGGGGGGGCCCAGGCCAGCTCCCTCTTCCTCTCTCCAACACCAACGCTTCTCCAATCTCACCCTTTCCAGTCCTGTGGAAACATCTACAAGGGCCTGGCCCAGACCGGAGCCTGGGGCTGCTTCGACGAGTTTAACCGAATCTCGGTGGAGGTCTTGTCGGTGATTGCTGTGCAGGTAGGGCCCCCGTGGTTTCTGGGTGAGGCCATCTCAGGGCTCATCTGCTGTCTTCTGCTCCGCTCAGCCTGACTGAGGGGCACAGAGCCAAGCGAGACCTCAGCCTTGTCCTTCAGGGGCCTGCACTCAGCTGGGCAGACAGAAGTAAAAGCAGTAAGAATCAGTCAGATGCAGCAGCATGTGTGTGACTGAATGCAGATGAGGGGGTAGTTAACTTTGCTTGGGGGACCAGGACCAAGGACTTTGTTGTAGATATCAATGGATTTGGGCACTGAAGGATGCACAGGAGTTTATCAATTAGACAAGGGCACGGGGAGAGAAAGAGGGAAAGGGAGGAAAGAAGGAAGAAGTGTGCCCCAGTGTTTGGGGAACACCCGGGCAGGAGGGCAGGAGGGCAGGACACACAGTGGGCAGGCTGGGACAAGGTGGAGCGGGGCTCGCAGGGGGGTGGCCCTGTGCCAGCATCATCCCAGGTGGGCCCCACCCCGCATGTTTGGAGGAGCACGTGCCTCAGGCGATCCTGTGCTCATGAGAATTGAGACCCACCAGGCTCTCTCAGGGAAGCTGAGGCCAACCTCAAGACCTGGGACCAGCTTTGCTTCCCAAAGGCTCCAGAAGTCAGGACATTGACGGTGCTGAGACCCTCCCCCACCCCCACAACAGACACCCAGTTACACAGTCTGAGGGAGGAACAGAGGGGGCGTGGATGTGGTGAAACCAGCCTGGGCTACTCCAGACCCTCAACCCAGGGGTAAAACCTGGTTTAAATTTACTAATTTGACTCCCAAAGTCTGTGCTTGGCAATGACTTAAACTCTCCATGCCTCCACTTCCTAATCTGTGAAATGGGCTCAACGGCAGGATTAGGGGTGAATGCAGGGAGCCTGTACCCTCTACTTCCATTACCCTCCTCTACACGGAATGGTCCCTGAACCCCGCGGCTGGAGGCCAGTAGGGCAAAGAGAGAATAGCAGCCCCGTGAGCAGTGCTGGTCACTGCCTTGGGGACCCCGCCCCCAGTGCAGTGGCAGAGTTCCTGGCCCCTCCCCCAAAGTCTGTGAACAGGGCCCCAGAACACTTAGTAGAGCCTGTTTCAGGCACTAAATGTTTGTTGACTGAATGGAGGAGCAAGAACTGAAACAGACCTTAAGGAGGGGCTTTGCACAGACAGAGGCAGCGAAGCATTCTAAGGGGTCCCACCCCCAGCCCCCAGCCCTGCAGTGTGTGAGCTGACACTGCAGTGTGGTCACAGTGGAGAGTCAGGCTTGCTGTAAAAGGCGGAGACAGAGGAAGGCAGGCAGGCCTTTGCGAGGTTTTAAACATGAGCATGGGGCGCCCTCACGTGGTGGCTTGGAGCTTTGCAGCCACCTCAGCAGGCACAAATGATTCCAGAAATGCAGATGTCACCTAGTACCGGCTTCCTTAAAGACTGTCTGATGTGGAGGTGGCTATAATCAGTCCTGCCAGCGGTCACTGCCAGAGCAGGAACGGGACTCATAACACGGCTGGGAGGCGGGACAGCACACAGAAATTAACAAAGAACAAACCATTGACACAGGAACCTCCAGGGCATTTTGTGGGTGATGAAAGCCCACCTCAGGTGACATACAAGGTCGGACAATTAAGTTCGTGAACTCATCCTAGAAAAAGTGCTACACACCTCACTGCTGAATATCACTACGGTCACCTTCGAAGTCCTCCCCTTGGGAAGCTAGGCACTGACGCCAGCACCTAGTCCACCCCTCAAAGCAATTTTGNGCTGCCCATGCCCTTCAAGGACGATCAACTGTGAGCCCCTCTCCCACACAGGACCCTGGTTCCACGCCCTCAAAATGGTTCACCAGGTCCCACATTCTTGCAAACTTTGCAAAACTAAGACATTATATTTCCTCCTCCTTAAAGAGGGCCCTCAAAGTTGTGACGTTCAGCCCTGGGTCCACACCTGCCCTTGAGCTTATCCTGAAGAATCTTTAAAAGCGGGAGGCATTGAAAAATCCCTCTAGAATATTAGATAAAGGTGGCCACACGACTGACAGGGCAGGGTGGTCCCCTCAGCGGCTATTTCAGCAAGTGTGGAAGACACAGCAACCCAGAACACCGCCTGCCGCAGAGACAAGGGTGGGCCCACGCGGCGCGCAGACCTACGAGCACAGGGGAGGCTGCGAAGTTGATGGAAGAAAACGGGAGGCAGTCTCCGTGACCTGGGGAAGGGCTTCTTGAACATAAATTTCAAAAGCACAAACCAGAAGGATTTACATCAAAAGTAAGAAATAATTTTCACAAGAGACACCAAGGACAAACGTAATACAGAGTTAAGAGAATGGAAGAAGGTACTTGCCATGTCTAAAGCCGACAGTGGATTCATGCCTGGAGTATACGAGGAATGTCTATAAATCAGCAAGAACAGGCAGCAAACTCCCAACAGGAAAAAAAGCATAATGGGGGAAAACCCAAAAGGTATGAGCACGTGAAGAAATGTGCAAACCCTTTGCACCCTTCAAAGTCATTGGAGCCCCTGGAAGTCGTATCAGCACCCTGACATGAGGGAAATTATTCCATTTGGGAGTCAGCAGCAGCAGCCGCAGCAGCACAATGGTAACGGGGGTGGTGACAAGTGTTGAGCATGGGCTGCACTTCGGGTACACTGCTCAGTGTGTTTCATGCATTAGCTCATTTCGTCCTCATAATGACCCATTGCACGGATGAGAGCACTGAGGCACGAGACGTTCACCAACTCACCCACAGTCCTGATGCCACTAAAGCGGAACAGCTGGAATACAGACCCAGACCTGCACCCGGAACCACCCTGCTGCCTTCCGTTTCCAAATTTTTCTTGAGAGCATGAAGTAAAATTGGCTGTTCCACATATGATCAATATTTATTGAGTTTTTTGTTTGTTGGTTTGTTTCTACCACATTCGAGGTATTGTTGGGCAGGGGGGTGGGGCAGGACACCAACGCTCACCTCTCCGTGCAGGTATGACAGGCAGAAGCTGACGCTGAAGGAAGTCCACAACTGTCAGTATGTGGCTTGCATGAACCCCACCTCTGGGTCCTTCACCATTGACTCCAGACTTCAGGTAGGCGGCAGTCAGACTCATTTCTGCAGTCGCCAGGGCTTGAGGGTCACTTGGGCAAATGACAGTAAAAGCCTTGATGTAGGGCGTCAGGGCTGCAGGCTGACATTCTCTGGAGAGCTCCCTAACCTTTCCGAACGGGTCAGGACATTCCGGGGAGCAGAGAGGCCGGCCAGCCAGCCTGCCCTGGGGGCCCCATAGGGCTGCTAGATTTAGCAAATGAAAATACAGGTGCCCGGTCAAATATGGGTTTCAGATGAACAACAAATATTTGTTCAGTATTGGCATGTCCCATCCAATATTTGGGACATACAGGATATCCTGTAGCATATTGTGATCCTACCCAGGCAGGGCCTCACCTCCGAATCATCTAAGCAGATGGAGACCCGGAATATAAACCCAGGCCTGGGCTCTGAGACACTCCTGTTTCCACCAAAATTTTTCTTGAAAGCATGAAGTAAATTTTGCTGTTTCAGATATAATTGCCACTTAATGGGATTTTACCACATCCAAGGTACAGGGAGGGAAAGTGCCCATTCTGGTCATGCCCACAAGACATTAGATGATGAGGACAGAGTCTGTGTCCCAAGAAGGTGGCTCGGCCATGAGCTGGTCCCCAAGAGCTGCCTGACACGGGTGTGTGGTTGTCCCCGGCAGCGGCACTTCTGCGTGTTTGCCGTGAGCTTCCCAGGCCAGGAGGCCCTCACGACCATCTACAGCACGATCCTGGGCCAGCACCTGGCGTCCCGCTCGGCCCCCATGGTGGTCCAGAGGATGTGCAGCCAGCTGGTGGCCTCTGCCCTGGGTAAGCCGGCCAGCCTCCTCCCCTCGCCTGTCAGGAACCCCCACTGCTTTATGGGGCTGATGGCTCCTTCCTATTCTCCCCTGGTAAATATTTTATTTATACTTTTCAATCAATAGTTTTTAAATGATGCTATGTTCCAACAGGAGATGTTGCGAAATCCAATTTCTTGAGGGGGAGGCAGCGGAGGGGAAATTCAGTAACAGAAATGATTTACACGTCATCGGGGCAGCAAACTTCCTCCCTGTGCAGCTGTGCAGTTTCCTTACTTAAGTTGTCACCAGCTCATAGTCCATTTGCTTTAGAAACTCTAGCTTGAGCTGTGCACTTCCTGAGGCCATTAAGAGTACATAAGAATCGATGTCTTTTTCCTGTAACAGCCCTGCATCAGAAAGTCACAGCAACATTTCTTCCCACGGCCATCAAGTTTCATTACATCTTCAACCTCAGGGACCTCTCCAATATCTTCCAGGTACTGCTCTTTAGCTCTGTGCCACCTCTGGCAAAGTCCCTGACCCATAGCAGTCCTCTGCTGCTCTCAGGGGAGAAAGCAAAGTGACCTGTGAACTGAAGACAGTAATGGTGATGGTTGTGATGGTGATGGTGACCGTGATGATGGTGACAGTGATGATGGTGACGGTGATGATGGTGATGATGGTGACNCCCACACTGTGGCAGAGAAAGACGAGGCTGGTGGCATTCAGAGTTGCATATGAGTGCGTGTGTGTATTCGTGGGTGTTTCCGGTTCAGGCAAGTCTGTAGGTGAGGAGAGAGAGGAGGCGCGAGAGCCCTGGTGAATCCCCTCTGCGCCTCTGCAGTGGGAAGTGAGGCCGTCTGCTGGGACGGAGGCTGCATGGCGGGGCCAGGGGTTGAGAGGGGACCTGAGCTCAGGGGCCCCTGTGGGGACAGGATCTGGCCTGACGCTCGGGGGCCTGGAGAGACACTGAGACCTGACCCCACTGAGCCGTCTTCTCCAACAACACTGGTCACCCACTCGTGTTAGTGTCCTGTGGCCGCCATCACAAAGGCCCACGAGCTGGGTAGCCTCAAGCAAAGGAAGCTTTTTGTCTCGGTTTTGAAGGCCAGAAGTCCAAAGTCGAGGCATCAGGAGGGTTGGCTCCTTCTGCAGCTGAGACCTGCCCCGGCCCCTCTCCTCGGCTCTGGTGGCTCCAGACACTCCTTGGCTTGTAGACGAGTCACTGCCTGTGTCTTCCCTTGGCCACCTCTGGTGTCTCGCATGGTCCTCCCTCCGTACACACCTCTGTGTCCCAACTTCCCTCTTCTCATAAGGACCAGACACTGGGTCAGGGCCGCCCTAATCCAGGATTACCTCATCTGAACTTGACCACACCTGCAAAGACCTTTTTGCCAAATAAGGTCACGTTCACAGGTCCCAGGTGGACATATCTTTTGAGGGTCCATCCTTCTGCCCACTCAGTTTTCAGGGTGGGCAACCGATAAGGCAAGAGAACAGAGACGAAGTCTGGGCGGGAGCTGCTAAGACGCAGGGTCAGGGAGAACAGGAAGAAGACGGGATTGTGGGGCTCCCAAGGGGCACCCAGTAGGGGCAGGGAGGAGAGAGCCAGAAGATACGCGGCTCTGGACAGAGACGGACAGAGACGGGAACCAGAGACCCGCCCGCCCTTCAGCCAGCAGTGGTTCTTGGGGCTCCCAGCAGAATGTCCAAGAGGGGGAGCAGCTCTCTGGCGGGGGAGGAGGAGCCCAGGCCGGAGGAGAGAAGGAAAGTGGCTGAGAGAGGGGCCCCGAGGTCCCGGGAGAGAAAGAGCAACCCGCCCCCAGGTGGCTGCAGGGGCAGCAGTGGCTCCAGGCCAGAGACAATGAGCACATCCCAGAGGAGGGTGTGAAGCTAGGTTCCAGGGCCTGCTGGCTGGCCAGCTGCCCCAGGTGGGTGTGTGGGGGGCAGTGAGGCAGAGGGCAGGGGCCCATAAAAGCTGACTCGTCCTTCCAAGTGTGTGTCTCTCTGGGCTTGCATTTCAGCCTACAGCCGGCATGCCCATCTGCATGCACTGCATGACTCTAACCAAGGCAAAAGGTGAAATTTGACATAAACTCCTTCAAAGCCGAATGCAGGCACAGCAGTCCTTGTACAGATTTGCACATTGGTCTCCATTCAGAAGACCTGCTGTGCCTGGAATTCNCATTATGATTGGGGCCTGCGAGCCATCAAGTCTGTGCTGGTGGTGGCCGGCTCGCTGAAGAGGGGCGACCCCAGCCGGGCGGAGGACCAAGTGCTCATGAGGGCCCTGAGGGACTTCAACATCCCCAAGATCGTGACCGACGACCTGCCCGTGTTTATGGGGCTGATTGGGGACCTCTTCCCCGCCCTGGACGTGCCTCGGAAACGGGACCTGAATTTTGAAAAGGTGGGTACGTGAGGCCTCGAGTCCAGCCTATGAGCCCAGCTGCGTCAGGGCTGCCTGCCTGCCGAGGACATCTCTTTCTATCATATGTCAGATTGGTACCCAAGTGGCAGGTGCAGTGTTGGGGTAGGTGGCCACGTCTGCCAGCCCGCGCTGGTCACACGCATGCGGCTCCCTCCGCTACGAGGAAAACCCTGAGGCCACAAGCTGCCTCTCCAGCCCTGGCCAGTCCTCGCTCAGTGCTGGGCGTCTCAAGAGGAACCGAGGGGCTTTGGCAAACCCATGGCCGTCTCAGTAGCATTGATGGCAGAACATGTAATCACATCCATCCTGGAGGGCCACTGCTGCCCTACAAGCTCCCCCGCTAGGCGGGAGGCTCCCCTATTCAGAAACACCGTGGGTCCTTGCGCCCCGTGCCCAGCACCCCGTCCTGTGTGCGCCCCCAGATCATCAAGCAGAGCATCACGGAGCTCAAGCTGCAGGCGGAAGACAGCTTCGTGCTGAAGGTTGTGCAGCTCGAGGAGCTGCTGCAAGTGCGCCACTCGGTGTTCGTCATCGGGAACGCGGGCAGCGGCAAGTCTCAGGTACGTCACCCCATGTCCCGCTGTGGCGTCACCCAGGAGGACCCTGCAAGACCCCAGCACAGAGGTGGAGGGCTGCTTGAGGGTCGGCCCTCTGTCACCTCCCCCCACCCCGGGGAGCCCAGCCCAGTGCATCCTGGGAGGCCCTCCAACCAGAAATGTGTCATGGGCCAAGAAGGAAGCTGTGACGTGGGGGGCGGGGGAGGTGGCATGCGTGGCCACAGGACCCAGTGCCGCTGAGGGGGCCCTTCTCCGGGAGTCACCTGCCTCCCTGGGCGCAGTCCCCCACCCTGTCTGCTGCCATTGCCTGGGCCATGGTGAAAGCGGACGGTGGCAGCCAACATTATGAATATCTGTAACAAACATCAGAAAACTCTTGAGCAGCCAAGTGTCCAGCTGGACGCCCACAGGGTAGACTGTTACACTCTTATTAAAGTCATTTCCAAAGACCAATAACTTGGGGACACTCACAGCAATTTGTTTTTCAAAAGGCAGAAACTGTCAGGACCTGTTTACTAAAAAGGAACATGTGCATGTACATATGAAATAGCCTCAAATGTCCTTAAAATTCCTTTGCTCTGGGTGGAGGAATTGTTTTCATCCCTTAAA